AATGAGTTGTTGGAATGAGATTTTGATTTGGTGTAGATGCTGAGGAAGGAGAAGGCACGCATCATGTACGTATTGGGACAAGTGTCGAGCAAGGGAGACAAGAATGCGTTTGGCACACGAATAGACACATGTCGGCATCTCACTATCCCTGTCACAACTGGGTTCTCGAGGTCTCCAAAGCACGGATTATGACTCATAAAAATACAGTAAAAAATTTTGCGAAATAAAAAGGAGATATTTCAAACATTAATATTAAAGTTCGTACAAATGTAGTTTTAGGCACAAAATAGGAAACGAACTCAAAAACATTTTGAAACAAAATCGACATAATCACATGATGGGTGGGCATCTCAACTAGGTGAGGGAAATATGTTGCCCATCATGATATCCTGCTCATGAGAAATGGTGCAAGGTGTCAACCTTGCGGTGTACATTTTCAACCTTGTGGTGTCATGATTTTGATATGCTCATGACAAGTTTTAAGAAAAACTTAAAGTCTATACACGCTGGCTACTGTATACAAATAATTTTATGTGAAAATAATCGTTTAAAACATTATCATAAAATATTGCCATGAACTTGTATATTTAATGAAAGGTTCTTAAAACAATTTTACAAAAATTAAAAATAAATATAAGTAAAATAAAAGAGAAAATACCATATACTAACCTATAGATGTGTCATGGTCATCTAAGTTGAAATTTCATCATCAACCAACATGGGAGTCTTGCCTATACATGAAAAATAAGAGTTGTACGTGACTTAGTATTTTAAGAAATACTTAGGAAGTGACTCCGCTATTGAGGTTAGATGCAAACACAAACAATCATGATTGAGATATCATTTAAATCTGTATTCCCTTAAGTGACTATCCTAAGCGGGTAATTGGATGTATTTTTACTATTCTACACACGACCCACACATACGAGTATGGACCCACCAATTAGTTCGCACTTCTCTTGAGGCCCTTCCCTAGTTGAGCTAGCATTCTCTGGTGTTGTTGCCAGACACCGTTTTCCTGCCTCATAACTACGTGTCCTAACCATCATAAAAGGAGAGATTTCCCGATACACGTAACACACAATGATGCATGAGGTCTCAAAATTCTTGTTCAGTAAACATGTAAAACAACTCCTTCTGTCTTTCCTTTATATCATATCATTTTTATCATTAGCTTTCAATACATACATCGGGGTCGTGCATTATGCTGAAACATCTTATGGCATGTCATTCATATCATACATCATGTTCTATCATACATATGTCAATATTATTCCATATTGTTAGGTTATGATTTAAAAAGAAAAAAAAAATTTAACCATATCTAAATCTTTTTTTTTTTCTATATTTTCTCTAATTTTCTTTTAATTTTGTTGTAAGTTATTTTAGGCCAATTTTAATAGATTCTTACTTTAAAAAATGGTTACCCATCATTTACACGAACTCATATAAAATTCTTGTCACTTAATTTTTAACTCAAAATTAAATAATTGCAACGGAATTAAGAAAAATATCATATATAATTTACAGTAATTTTTTAAAAATGAAATTAGGATAAGAAAAAAGGAAAGTCTAACATATAACTTAATGTACACCTCTCTGTATATATAAATGTGTCACATCTATAGTTAAATCTTAATGTTATTTTCATTTTTCTCTCCAAGTAAATCTGTCATTTTTTATCGGTTTTTTTTCCCTTCCCTTCAGAAAATCTGAGACAAGGGCGGCTAAGGTATTTATGGGGAGGTGTGAAAAGTTAGGGGAGAGATGGAAAATTGGTTTCTTTTATTTACTGTTGTTACATTGTCGAAGCATTGGACCCTCATATGTCTATGTTGTGTCATGCTAAACCAGTTACATAATTCGTTTCGGATACCAGGTGCATAATCCAACTTTCGACACATGAGTTGGGGTGCAATGGAGACTATCCTAGACCCATTTCAAAGAAAGATGCCCAAGATGCTCGCCTAAACCAGTTACATAATTCGTTTCGGATACCAGGTGCATAATCCAACTTTCGACACATGAGTTGGGGTGCAATGGAGACTATCCTAGACCCATTTCAAAGAAAGATGCCCAAGATGCTCGCCTAAACCAGTTACATAATTCGTTTCGGATACCAGGTGCATAATCCAACCTTCGACACATAAGTTGGGGTGCAATGGAGACTATCCTAGACCCATTTCAAAGAAAGATGCCCAAGATGCTCGTCATAATGTGACACATGTATGTGTCATAGGGTAACTCGCTTAAGCCATAGGGTCCAGGGGTGGTAGAAAGCTGACACATTGCTTCTCCCTAAGGTATATTTTAAGACATTCCAATCTCGCAAGTGTAAACATGATTTTGGCAAACGGCCATATGATGTCAAGGAGCATCCGTTCGGTATCTAAATGACACCAAATTTAGCAAATTTTCATTCTTTATATGGGCGGACTTAATTCTTAAACCGCATGTCCAAACTCTTTCCAGAATCCCAACTTTCAAGGATAAGCCGCAAGCCCTACCCAACCATTTATCAAGCCTATATTTATTCCTTAGGTTGACATTGTTGCCTCGATCATGCTTGTGCCTCAGCTTAACTTAGGTATATTAAACCTAAATAGAGAAAAAGTAATAAGTTTAATGTGCTCAAATTAAAATTTAATATATTATATATACATTCTATCTAAAGAGAAAAATATATTTATTGTATTACATCAAATATTAAATTAATTAATGCGTATATACCTTAAATAAAAATATATATTTAAGATTATTCATGATCCCCTCAACGATATTGGAGCCACTTCCTCGCGGTTCTTATTAAGTTGAGTCTTTGCTACCTCTGTCAAGGAATAACTTATCTGCAAGAATGAAAGCAAGCCTCATTTCCAACATAAATACTATACCTCCCCTTCAATAGGTCACGGGAAGACGAGTACGTATCACATAAGACTCGACCAGTGTTAAGGATATTTAGTAATAAATTATACTTTCCCGTATATATTATATTTGATATTTTATTATAAGGCAAATATCTAATATTTGCATTATTACTATAGATATCTTTCCATTGTTATTTCCATTTATTACTATTTCCATATCCTTGTAATTTATTTGATTATAAATAAGATAATTTTCACACTATTTAGGTGTGGTGGATTAATCAAACATTCACATGGTATCAGAGCCATTTTGGTTTAGCAACCCGGATTCTTTCTTTTCAATGGCTTTTGAAATCTTCTACCGTTCTTCTCCACCACCACTGTTGGCTTTGACGCCGCAGGGGCAGTCGTCATGGCTGCCACATGCAGAGCCGATTGATTATTCTTCGGCTCCACCCTTTTGACCTCCAAATCATCCTTCGCCATACTCTGTACATACAACCTCACCTTTTCCAAACATAGCCTCTTTCATTTTCTTCCCAATTTTCCCTTCATCCTTCACAAAAACCCTAATCTTAGGATCTTTATCAGCATTCCTCTTCGAAAATATACAGAATCTCAATAAGCCCATCGACCTTCTGTAGAGATTTACCTTTGGAATCTGGGCGCCGCACTGGCATCTTCGCCAACCAAGTTGCCGCCGCCCTTCTCGCCAAAATTGGCTCCTTCGCCCCAATGTGGCGGCTCTTCCAGCTGCCCTTCTCGCCAAAATTGGCTCCTTCGCCCAATGTGGCGACTCTTTCGGCTTCAACATTGTCTTTGTCCCTTGCTCTAGGTTTCCCCTTCTACTTCTTGGGGTTAGACATATTCTCACCAGAGCCAAGGCAGCATCGTCGCTAAGCGACAATCCCTCTTCATGGGTTAGACATATTCTCGCCGAAGCCAAGGCAGCATCGCTGCTAAGCAGCAATCCCTCTGCAATTTTCGATGGCCAAGAAAGTGTTTCTTTACGCCTCCTCTGAACCAGGTTGTTGACATCTTCACGAAAAGTGTTTCGCAACCTCTTTGAATTTTTCAGATCCAAGCTTCACGTTTGTTCAAATCTGACGCTCAGCTTGCGGTGGGGTGTTAAGGATATTTAGTAATAAATTATACTTTCCTGTATATATTATATTTGATATTTTATTATAAGGCAAATATCTAATATTTGCATTATTACTATAGATATCTTTCCATTTATTGTTATTTCCATTTATTACTATTTCCATATCCTTGTAATTTATTTGATTATAAATAAGATAACTTTCACAACATTTAGGTGTGGTGGATTAATCAAACATTCACAACCAGCAATGCAACACATGAGTCCTCCACTTGCTCCACACCCAAAAATGCTCTCCTTCCCCAAATTTAGGCATAACAGACGGGTGCACGCAACATATTTTGGACCACATCCTGCTTGATGCTCAGAAAACTGTAATAAAATAGAGAAACTTCTTAGTAAAATTTGTCCATGCCCACCGTTAACAGATATTGTCCGCTTTGGGGTTTCCCTTTCGGACTTTCCCTCAAGGTTTTTTATCATGCATCTGCTAGTGAGAGGTTTCCACGCCCTTATAAGGAATGTTCCGTTCTCCTCCTCAACCAAATTGGGATCTCACAACCCACCCTCACCCCCCTTCAGGTCCAGCGTCCTTGCTAGCACTCATTCCCCACTCTAATCGATATGAAATCTCACAACTCATCCCCTTTAGAGCCCAACATCCTTGCTAGCACTCGTTTCTCTCTCTAATCGATATAGGATCTCACAATTCATCCCCCTTCAGGGCTCAGCGTCTTCGCTAGCACACCACCTGGTGTCTAGCTCTGATACCAACTATAATAACTCAAGCCCACCGCTAGCAGAAATTGTTCTCTCTGGGCTTTCCCTCAAGATTTTTAAAACGCATCTGTTAAAGAGAGGTTTCCATACCCATATAAATAATGTTTCATTCTCCTCCCCAACCGAGGTGGGATCTCACACAGCTTTTTCTAGTAATTTAGTCAGTGAGGCAACAAGGAACCATATCTAGGAAGTAGGTTCCATGATGATAACACTACTTGTATGAATAATTCATGTACTATAACATAAAATGCGTAATGGAACACATTAACTTCAGAAAAGTTTGTTACCATGTAAAGAGGGTTGTTACTTTGACAATGTCAATAAAAAGTGTTGTTTCCTTCTCAAAAAAAAAAAAAAAAAAATCCTTTTGTTACTTTGTTCATAGTAATTTCTTGATAGTTCTACCTGGGATCGATGGAGAAGAACATCTAGATCAAACCCAGAGATATCACTATCCAATTTGAATAATTCAATCATTAATCGATTGAACAAGGCCCTTTCACTGCAAGAGAAAAGTTCTAGTTAAAACTTAACCCTGCCACTACTAATATTATAACTTTGCTAGTAAAAGAGAAGTTTCCATAAGAAACAGAACAATATTTTAGGACAGTACTAAAAAGTTACCTACTCGCTCCTCGCAGATTAGAACATTTGATCCAACCTTCAAATTTCTATCATATGCCTCCATCAAGCTTAGGGATGATAGTAAAATGTGTAGGCATACCAGGCTTTTGAAATCTCTGTTTACTTGGAGAGAAAATATGCTAACAATTCTTCTAATTGAGCATCATGAGCTTCAGTTTGAGTATTGAAGATAGAAACTTCAAAATCTTGTGAGCATTCCTTACAGTTCCTCCAAAATCTCATTCATTCATAAAACTCGATAGATTCATCCATGTGCAAATAAATTGTGAAAATTCAGCGATTCTACTTAAAGTTGTATGATTCCTATCAAGTAGACCATGATCCTCATAAGCAATACCCTTCAATGGTCAACAATCCTGTAAGCTGATTAGTGAACCCAATACCCATTTTCCACTAAAACAGAACATGATTGTCACATCAGAAGAAACATGCAAACAAAATCAACAACACTGACAGAAGTTCACAATTAACATCTTCTCCTTGACAGTATATAACAGATGCAGACATAATTTGTATTGCAGTGACAAACATTGAAGGAATCTCCACAGTTTTTCCTGATGAATATGAAATTTGAACATCTTTTGGAGACTCAACTATCACCTCAAACTTGCATCAGCTCAACTTCATAAGAATATCAGCAAGTATTAGGTTGTTTTATATGTATAAATATCCTTAAATTATGAAGGATTAGGCAATCTTACTCGTTGAAAACCAGGAATTTCTGCTGCAGAATCAACAATTCCTCTCCCTTCCCCTCCTTCTTCACGAACGGTTCTGCTTTCGTTTCAACCATAATTGGCATACCATCTTCAATTACATCTTCCTTGATTGAAGAACTGTGTGATTCCCCAACCGAATCCAGGTTGATTTGAGAAATCAAGTCCTCCTTTGCATCAAATTCCTTAGGCGCAAAAGTCCTTGAAATCGGTATAGCTTCAATTTGCCCCTTTCATCTTCTTAGGGTTCTTCAGCTCACTGTCGGACTCATCGGAGGAACAAACCCCAGATTTCGGCCAATCCGCTTCCTCACCTTCGTCTCCAAATCCAAGACCGTCGTCGTCAAAAATAAACCCTAGGGCATCTTCACCACGCTTTGCAACGAGAGCATCATACTCATCTTCCGGAATTGTGTCGTGGATGGGGTTCTGTAACTTCAAATGGAAACCACCATCTTCCAACCGACGCCCACCGCTGCAGAAGGCTTTGAGACGTTCCAGAGCCGCAAGGTGAGCAGCAGCCTCAGATCCTCAGCTCCTCCGCCGATTAGCGGCTGAAGGCTGTTCATCCGCCATGTCCGAAGAGATATAACCTCCACGGCGCTGATTTTAACATGGATTTTGTTGGCGTGAATTTGCAATTACAGAATCTGAGAATGTCTGGGAGAAGATCTTGTATGTGTTTGGCGGGAATGGATCGTCGTTCTTTAATTAAATATAATAGCCAAACGAATTTTTGTAGAGCCTAAATCAATCAAAATAAAAATAAAAAATAAAAATAAAAATGTCCTTTTCTAAACAAAATATCTTCCCATTTTCAAAAATTTTAATAATACTTTTACATTTTTTAAAAAATAAAAATTCAAACATATTTTAAAACTTTTATAAATATTATTAATACTTTTAAACAAAAACAAATAAATAGAAAATTTTATAAGTAATTTTTAAGTTTTGAATTTTTTAGAAAATATATTTGAAACATTAGATTGATAAGTATTTTTTGGAACAAACTATTAGCTGTTTCAGAAACTAATTTCGGCTCCTAAACATGTATAAAGATTTAGATATAAGTTTCTATGATGGCTAATAGTAATTACAAATGAACGTATTAATAAGGTTGATGCATTTCATAGCTTTCATGATGTGTATAATCTTATGATTACATATTGATAAGTTTAATTATGAACATATTGATATGGTGAACGTGACAACGAGCATAATCGTTGGATTTAGGGGACGGAATAATAAAGATATGGTTAGAAAGTAAGAAAAAAAATGCCAAAATTTATACAATTTCCAACCTCAGTGGGGTGTGTCGTAATCGTAAGTAATATTAATAATTATATACAGAGTGACAAAAACTGTCTCGCAATCAGAAGCGTGGAATACTCCATTATCAGCTTCTCAAACTAAAAAAATTTTTAAAAATGTTACTGTTCAAAATTTTGATCACCTCACTGTCACCCAACTATCCATCACAGACCAATGCAATGGCTTCTCGGTTACCAATTCCCCCACCCTCCTCCTCATCATCTCCGGCGACGAATTACCCCAACACGAACTCAACTCTTCCGGACCTTGTTCGGAGCAAACGAATTCCGGGAAATCGAAAGGACCCGTCGGCGACTCCGTCGCCAGTTCCGCTTCCTTCAATGTAACAGTACCGCCGCCACCAGCGACAAATGGGTGATTCAAAAGCATCTCCGCCGTCCACCGATTTCTAGGATCCTTGACAAAACATCGCCGGAGAAAATCTTTCCCCTCCGCTGATAGATTCTCCGGAACCTCCGGTACTTCGTCGCCGACTCCGATTCTCATCATCAGCGCGAATATATCCGTTTCCGGCCCAACTCTCCACGCCGGTTTTCCTGCCACCATCTCCACGACGGCGCAACCTAATGCCCAAATATCACACGGCGGCTCATACTCACCGCCGTTGACATTCTCCGGTGACATATACATCGGAGTCCCTCTCCACTGAAATCTCTCCTCTGTTTCCGCCGCCGTCATTTTTCCCGCGGGTTTAGCAAGCCCAAAATCAGCGATCTTAACATCGCCATTCCCAAAAATTAAGACATTGGAAAGCTTCAAATCGCAATGAACAAACCCATTGCAATGAATATACCGAAGCCCACAAAGAATCCCCCTCGTGTACCTTCGAACATCGAATTCCGGCAACCCACCGCCGTGGATTTTCAGAGCATCCGCAAGGCTTCCGCCATTGGCATACTCCAATAACAGATTATAATACTTCTCCCCATCTTTCTCAACACTAAATCCATCCCCAAAACAAGCGATGATTTGCGGGCAACTCCCAATTCGATCCAGAATTCGCTTCTCGTTCTTGAGCGAAACAGAGGATTGAGAAACAGAGGATTTGACCGCCATTAATGGCAGATGCTGATCGGACCCATTTGTAAGCTTGGCTAAATAGATTGTGGCAAAACTTCCGCGACCCAGTTGGTGGCCTCGAACCCACTCCATTGATGAAACAGAAAGGTTGAATGTTGCGATGTGTGGCGTTTCCTGGTGAAATTGGGATGAATTGAGAGTTAGAAGATGGTGAAAGTTAATTCCATAAAGGAAGCGGAGTCGTAAATGGAAGATCTGTTAATCTGATATGGAAAGAATTTTGAAAGTATTTATGGCACATGATCACCACCCACATTTTTGGGCGTTGCGTATTTTGGTTTCCTTATTTACATGGAATACACCAATTTAAGATGCTTCCCATCATTCATTTTACCAATTTAATTCATTTAATATAAATTATTATTATTATTATTGTTATTATTAAATTACAACTTTAGTATATTTCATCAACTTCCAAAATTGTAGGTTCATAATAAATTTGATTTTTTTTTTTTTTTTAATTCTAAAATTTTGAATTATGATTTAGGTATCTAATTCATCAACAAATTTTTAAAAATATCAAAATCTAGAGATTATAATTTTGGGCAATTCTCATTTTCATAATTCAATTTCATGTCGTGAAACATTAACGAATCACTTTCTTTCTTTCATCGGTACAACAATCAATATATATTTTTTTTTAATGAGAATGTATTTTTGTGGGCTTTGCACATGTTGAATTCTGTCTATCTATACGTTAAATTTTAGTAAAAATAAATTATGGATCAAATTTAATATATTTTTATAACTTTGATATATATTTTTTTCATTATAACAACTAACGTGAATATACAGAGTTCATAAAATGAGCCGTTAAAGCATTATTGTAAAATTATACTACTAAAGTAAAAGTAAATTATTTATACTTATGGTAACGACTTGAATTTTAAACTTATGTTGAGTCACTACTACATGCATGATAAAGACTTTGACTTTGGACAATCATGAGTCACCAAATTTCTCGTTTATAGGCAAAAAAGAAAAAACACATTCTGCTGGTAAAAAAAGAATCTTAAAACGTTAAAATACTTCATTATTATCCATACGGACTTCAAGAGTTGGACGAAATATTCCAGCTTTACAAATATTCATTCGGCTTAATGAAACAAACGTAAAAGCATGACAAAGGGTAACTCTAGAAGCTAATATATGACCAAAACTGTGACCTCGCAATTGTTGTTGTCAACCGTCTAATACTCAATCTTATCTAAATGAAAAATATTACGAAAAATGTAGAGTATGATAAAAGATCAAGTTAGTGATCCAATTTTTTAAGTCGAAAAATGCAAACACATGCGATATAAATCGTAACATTCATTTCAAGTGAGACTGAAAATCATGGTCTTGGGCTCCAATTCCTTTTTATGATTGGGATATTTATCAATTTGTGCATATTTATACGTCCACCACTTTCGTAGACAAAGACACCATCCTCGCATCCCGTTCATGCTCCCTAGACCTCGTCAGATACACATCACTATTCATACACAAAGGGGTATCACTCTCATAAGCACAAACCGTACCCTAAATGTCCTAAAGCATGAAGAGACCTTAGAAAATAGTAGTTTTAATACATGACGCATCCTAATAGTTATTCCTTTTATAAAACATTCTCGTATGACTAGCATACATTCATCGGGTAGCTAGCATTTTTCATCATACAATAGCATACATACATCATAATCATCATGTCAAATGATCATGCAACATAACGTACACACAATACATCCAACCTAGCATATAGCGTTTAACTGTAACCTCACTTACCTCAATAGCAGTTTTAATCGTTATAAACTCGTTGTTAAACATATTCAAACCTCAAGTGTTGCATACCTATATAAAAACAATATATTTGTTTGATGTTTATAGGGGAAAAAAATTTTAAAAGCGGACTGGATATCGCTTATCTTTTGACCAAAACGCTAAAGAGAGCTCTCAATTAGTTGTACCCTAATGTGGGGAAATATGTTGGCAAGTTTTACGTAATCCAAGGGCAAAATGGGAAACATTTTTCTAGAAAATGTTGAAATTTTAGATAATCTTATTTATTAATATTATTATTTTATAGAATGATCTCAGAAATCCAGAGTTGATGCTCCAAGAAAAGAGACTAAAAAGCTATCGCTGCCCACTGGTTTTCAGCCTTTTTATTCTTTTCTTTATACATAATCAACCTACCAACCAACCAACCTTTTTTTCTCACTTTCATACCTTCATTTTTCTTTCTAACATCAACCCACGAACTCCTTCTATCTTCCAACACTTTCCCGAACAGACGCGTTTTAAAGCCTTGAAGGGAACCCCAAAAGAGAAAGCCTAAAGAGGACAATATCTACAAGCAGTAGGCTTGGGCTTGAGCCGTTACAAATAGTATCAGAGCCAAAAGACGCTCGGCCCCGAAGGGGGGTGAATTTAGTGGGGTCCCACATCGATTGGAGAAAGGAATGTTGGGTAAAGATGGATAATTATTATGTTTTATGTGAATGACTTATCTCGATTTTACAAATGTCAAGATTTGATCCTTCAAAATTAGGTTTATAAAGTTGTTAGAATTATGCTCTCCATAATTTGATGTGACTAAATTTGATGGTGTTGAGTTCATATATATCTATTGGAAGTACCTAAATTAATTAGGTAGGATTAAGGTTTTGTGGGCCATTCAACTTAGAACTTGTCTAAATTGGATCGATAGAGTTTCAATATATTTCTTCTAGATGGTGTCTAGATTATGAGAGTTATATGTGGTTTACTATGGTATAATGTAGACTTCATATAATGGAAGAGGATGTACCAAACACAACGTTCGGGTCTAATATGGATTTACGAGTTTGTGATCATACCGTTCGTTCGGCCTAACCAATGCCTCTATAGTGTTCATGGAATTAATGAGTCAAGTTTTCAAGAAGTATTTGGATATGTTCGTTATTGTATTCATAAACGACATTCTTGTATACTCCAAGACGGACTAGGAACACAAATTACACCTTAACAAAGTTCTTACAATTTTGAGGGAGACTAAACTGTATGCCAAGTTCTTGTGTGAATTCTGATTGCAATATAATAGATTTTTAGCAGACCCCGCGAAGGCTGAACTAGTCACAAAATGGGATTGTCTTACTACTATTATCGAGGTATGCAGCAACTTGGGACTAGTGGACTATTATTGACATTTGGTATGGGATTTCTCTAAAATAGTCTCGCCACTCACACAATTGACCAGAAAAAGGTAGCCCATTTGTATGGCCTAAGACATGTGAAGCGACTTTCCAAGACTTGAA